GAGGAGGAGGAGGAGGAGGAGGAGGAGGAGGAGGAGAAGGCAAGAAAGTTCCCAGACAGTGAAAAATATCCCCTGGGAACAAAAGCCACTGCCCTAAACACTTGCCACAAAAAGGCTCAGCACAGAGTGGCCCCATGCCAACCTTTAAATATCCTATCCAGTTCATCTGTCCCTATAACAAGCTGGCCAAGCACCTTTGACACCAAGGAGCATTTTCAGTGCTGTGGGCTGCCCTCTGGCTACAGCCTATATCACTGGACAGGGGTCCCTTCCTCTCCACCCACTGGGGTGCATTTCCAGTCCCCAGTCCCTCCAGAGTCAAGTGCCTTACCCGAGCCTTTCCAACAAATCAAAGGTCCTTTGGTCAGGGCCCCTTGAGCATTTCGGATCAGGTAGTATTTGAGGTGCTTCTGTTTCTTGGGCTGTGTGGTCAGCTTCAGGTTGATGTGGTTAGAGAATTCAGTGAAGTAGCAGAAACCTTTCTTCCCACAGCCAACACAGTTCCCAGAGAAACCTGGAGGTGGGGGAAAGTCCTGAGCATCTCTAACTCCCTTCCAGCTCCCCTCTAGCCTCTTCATATAATCACAGTTCATCAAAATTCATCACATCCCTACTGCCACTCAGAGAATGCCAGCAGCTTAGGGAGTGGTCATGGTAGACTGGCTGGGGAATCTGGTTGGGGAGTCAAGATCATCCAGACTCAAACAAGACCAAAGAGAATGGGTCATGGAAACAGGCTTGGGCAAGCCCTGAAGATTTCACTTCCTCAGGAACATCCTGAAAACCCCACTTGTGAATGAATGAAGGAAATGTAGAGGCTGGTAATATAACTCACCTGGTAGAGTGCATGTCTAGCACTCACCAGGCCCTGGGTTCAATCCCCAGCACTACATAAACCATGGTGGCAATTGCCTGTAATCCCAGCACGTAAGCAACAGAGACAGGAGTTCAAAGTCATCCAAGTCTACATAGCAAGTTCGTGGCCTGAGCTACACAAAAACCTGTCTCAACATGGTACATATATACACAATGGAATTTTATTGTCATAATGAAGAATGAAATTATATCATTTAAAGGTAAAATGGATGGAACTGGAGATTATGTTAAGTGAAATAAATCCAACATATTGCATGTTTTCTCTCATATGAAGAATCTAGATTTTTAAAATATGCATATGTATGTATGCATGAAGTTAGAGGGAAGGAAGGAGCCTAAAAAGAGGGGGAGGGGGAATAAGAGAGAGTAATGAGGGAAGGAAGACAAAGATAGCATATTTTCTCTTATGCAGAATAAAGATTTATCTTCATACATACATACATACATACATACATACATGATATATACAGCTTTATATGTATATGAAAGCAGAGGGGATTGTTCATGGAAGCAAGGGAAACAGCAGAGGGATGGGAGAATCAAGGAGGGTAATCAGGGAGCAAGTGTAAGCAAAATATAATATATATGCATTAAAATGTCATCATGAAACCCATTATTTTGTATGCTAAAAAACAATAAATAAAAAGCCATCTACAAAGCACGCTCTGAAGGATCAGAACAAGCCCATTCAGCTGGCCAGACTTATCAAGTACCAGACGCATAGTGGGGATGCCAGGAATAAGTTCTGACACTCAGAAGCCAACAGAGTGAAGACACTGTTCAAGAACATGTCTGTGAGCTGGGCATGGTGGCACATGCTTTTAATCCCAGCACTTGGGAGTCAGAAGCAGGTGGGTCTCTATGAGATTGAGGCCAGCCTGGTTTCCAAAGTGAATTCCAGGCGAACTGGGGTTATAGGAAGACCCTATCTCAAAACAACAACAACTAAAAAAAAAAGTGGGGACGAGCAGCAGCAGCAGCTGGTGAGATGGCTCAGTGGCTAAGAGCACTGGCTGTTCTTACAGAGAACCCAGGTTTGGTTCCCAGCACCTACATGGCAGCAAACCATTCATGGCTCCAATTCCAGGGGATCTGATGCCTTCTTCTGGCTTCTGCTAGCACTACACAACATGGGTGCATTTACATACATGCAGGCAATACACTCATACACATAAATAAAAAAATAAAATAAAATAAAATTTAAAGAGGAGGAGGAAAAGGCTGTGTCAGGATAGGTATCCTGCTGGACCAGACAGGTCTCTCCACCCAGGTTCCTACCACCACCAGCTCTGCAGCTCTAGATAGGCCAACTGAACAGTGACAATGACAGATACCTCCTTGCATAAACTATGAACATGGAGAGCTTGAGTTTGAAAGGACCGCTACAAACCACAAAGTTATTCCAAATGAACCAGCTACAAGCTTGTTTAATACAGGAAACATGTGACCGTTTGGCCTCTTTACCTCACCACTGCTCCTATATAAACCATCCCAAGATGACCTTGCTCTGTCAATAGCAGGACTGGTTCCTTGTGGGTCCAAGGTCCTGGGTCCAGGGAGGCCCTGAAGCTGGGATGGATTTATTTTATCACATTCTCTGCCTGTTGGTCTACAGAGGTCATCTCACATTAGGCCATAAAAGCTACATGCCTCTCCATGAACTCTGTTCTTAAGACTATCCCTAGAGGCTCTGGCTAGTGTTCAAAAGATAGCCAGTCAGTGAAGGTTAAAAACATCTCCACAGAGTAAAGATTCACACTGCAGAAAGTCTCTAATTCACATATGTCTAGACCAGCTTCCTATTCTTCAAAAGGAAGACCTCAGAAATATGGACCAATCTCAGCCTGGCCAGAATAAGGCACAGGGTGACTTAGCTGTCCAGTTTCTAGTCCCTTTGTACAAGTGTGAGAAGACAGAGCAGCAAGGAAATGGAAAACGCTGTGTGGGACAGGGAGGAAACTAACATGCGCACAGATCCATTCAGTAGGGAGCAAACAGGACAGTCAGCTTAACTGACCCCACAGCCAGCCACAGCCAGCCTGCTGCCCATCTGACATGTCTCAGACATACAGTGTGGTATCTTTTCTCCTTCCTCTTGGACTAAGCTGTGGGAAGCAGGAGAGTGCCAGGGGCAGGAGACTCCCTCCAGAACGAAAGGTAAGAAGTGACTCCATCCATTGTCCAACCACAGAAGGGAAGACAGGGCTAAAGGGACTGAAGTGCATGAGTCTTCCTGGAAGTATCCACAGAGGTTTCCTTTGACTTGATGGGTAGTCTCCAAGCACATGGCTTTAAGGCTGGTGGGGTAGGGGGTGGCTCAACCTTATTGCCAGGGTTACTGTCTCTGCAGAGAAGGGTCCCTTCTCTGAATCCTCAGGGATGGTTCTGAAATCCCTCTGATATCTGACTTTTCTTCATGAAACACAGTCTAGAGGAGACTTCCTGGACAGTCCTGCAGGAGATTCAAGAGGCCCCATGTTTACTGTCACCTTCCTGTTAGTGGAAGTAAATGTGTTCTAACAGCAAATGAAAGGGAACATAATTTCTAGAGTCTCACCTTGATGTCTGAACCAAATCCCAGTCACTATGTAGAAACTTCTACTTGTGCCAGAAAAAGCATACAGAGCAGATTTAGATTCCAGAGGGGCCAGGGCATGGTATGCGGGAACAATGTAGGTTTGAAATTTCTGTTGGATCATCTTCTATCCTACACTGCACTCAGAATTTGTTCCCTGCCTCAGTTTCTCTTTTGAAAAAAAATTACACGCGTGAGTTCCAAGAGAGCTTTCTAAAACATAAAACATGGCAATTGCCTTATTTTTTATCACTACCAATATTTCTTTAAAATATAAATTGGGGGGTTGGAGAGGTGCTTCAGGGGTTCAGAGTACTAGCTGCTCTTGCAGAGGACCTGGATTCAGTTCCCAAAACTCATATGGCAGCTAACAACACTCTATAATTCTAGTTCCAGGTGATCCAACTCCCTCTTCTGGCCTCCATGGGCATTTCATGACATGGGTGTACTTAACATATGTACAGGCAAAACACTCACATACATATACATATACATATACATATATATACATATATGTATGAAGGGAAATGAAAGAAAAAGGAACTACAAATTTTAAAAGACAAGAGTTAAAGATGTAGCTCAGTTGGTAGAATACCTTCTTAATATGCATGAAACCCTGGGTTTGATCCCAGCACTGCATAAACCTGGGCATAGTGATGCACACCTACAATTCCAGCACTTGGAAGGAGGAAGCAAGGAGGATCAGTGGAAGCAAAGAGGATCAGAAGTTCAAGGTCATTTGTGGCTATTTAGCAGGTTCAAGACCAGCCTAGGTAGGATAAATGAGACTCCATCTCAATAAATAAATTCAAAAGACAAAAGATAAATCAACCAAATACTTTAAGAGAACTTTCATTGGGTCTTGAATTTAATAAACCAACTGTAAAACAAAAAAGTAAATGATAAAATTTGAACCCATCAGATATTTAAAAATATTGACAAATGCTACTAAAATGTATAAACATGATCATGGTACTGGGTTTCCAACAAAAAGTTGTTTTTCTATAGAGACAGATACTCATGAAACTAGTTTCTGATGAGTAACGTGGGGTGTGAGATTTGCCTCCTGATAATCGTGGTGGGGAGAAGAGGGAGGAGTCACAAAGCACAGGGCTGACTATCCCGACATGCTAGGAACAACCAGAGACAAAGGACACCCTACACTAGGTGCTACAGCTTGACTGTGGCTTTCCAGATACCACACACCTCTATCCTTCAGGACCCAAATGAAGCCCCAGCTTCTGCCCATGAGCCAGGCTCCAGCCACTAAGAAATTTCCCCATCTCTTCAAGTACCCATAGCATAGTTCATGCTGCCTGAGATGTCCTTCATCCCTTAATCAGTCCTACATCATCAAGGATCAAGGTCAAAAGCTTCCAGTTGCTGCCCAGATGACCCTAATCAAGTCAGTCTGTGCCTTCTGGGCTTCATATATAAACACCTGACCATCCTATCTCTTCCTCACTAGTTTATTTCCACTTCCTCAGAACTGTTTCTGACACATGATAAATCCTTAATAAACAGGAGCTACCATTTGCATTTTACTGCTGCTCTTCTCCAGCTCGCAAACTTTCAGTTTTCAGGGCCTAGCTCAAACCTGGCTGCCACTGAAACATCTTTCCCATCACCAATAGTTCGTGTTGATACCCTGGCAACCCTCTGTGAAAGCCACAATGCCATAAGACTGAGTATAAGATTTACTGACATGGTTTTTGCTATGGACCTCCTGACTCTGCTTGCCTGTGTCTCCCCACCAAACCAAGAGCTCCCAATGAAAGGGCTGAGTCCCCAGGTATAGCTAAACATCCAGCCTTCAGCTTAAGCTTATACACTAATAAATGTGCAAATAATTTGCCCGCTCACTAAATAATGTACTCATTTTTTCCTAAGAAATGAGCATGTTAGAGAGATGTTTTCTTCTCTCTTCTTAAGCCACTGGCCAACTTGGACAAAACAGCTAATCTAAACAACAAGCCTAGATTTTAAATTTTCAGTTTTCTCAGACAAACTCCCTCAGCAGATTCAAAGTCACTAGAACAATATTCCTAAAGTCTTTGCTTCCCCCACAATGGTCCACAGCCCCGTGTTTTATAGGTCACTAAACAGAGCTGAGCCTGGGCCCCTGCGGGAGCTTCAGAAACCACCTTGTCCTGGGCAGTTATCTGAGTTAATGGCAGGAAATTTAAACAGTGTTAAGTGTCTAAGCTGAGAGCATAAAGTTATTTTCAAAGGAGAGAGCATTGGTGATTACCAACCAGCTCTTGTTCCCCATTCTGAATGGCTTTTTGCAAGCAATTAACAAAGCTCTGACTTCCTGGGCACTCTGGCCAAGGCAGGAGGAGCAAGACTCTTAGGGGCTGGAGGGGAAGGAGCTGGAAGATTCCTATCTCCAGGGCCCAAGAGGCAGGACCTCCCTGATTTACCACCCTGGCAATTCCCTTACAGTCACAAAGGGGTGGAATTCAGACAACCCCTCAACCCTACCTTACCCCACCACTACCACCAGATCAAACACCACCTGTGTGAGGCACCGGCTTCCCCAGCTCCATCTGTTTGAGCACTGTCCGTATGATCTATATGTGTGCCCAGTGAGCAAGCTTGGGCTCACATGCAGGCATTCCATCAGATTGAGGAGTTAGTTGTCCATAATTATTCTTAAAGAATTGGTCTCAATAAGCCCACAGAGCTGCCTAAGGGCCTGCCCAGGTCATTGTCCCCAGGCTATGCCATTCTTCCTGGGAGCATTTTTTTTTTTTTTGCCTTGTTTGGGAGTTTACACACATTGTGCCCCCCAGTAGCCTTCAGTCAGGAACCATTTATTTTCCTTTCCTTCCTCTCTCCTCCCTCCATTCCTCATGCCCTTCTTTGCATAACATAACGGTGCAAAGGCAAAATGTGTTCAGCGAACACCCGCTGCAATGAGTTCTCCCCTGGTTTTGGGGCCATAAGAAGCACAGAACTGGAGGTTTTCAGTGCTGATACACAGGGAGAATAAGAAAGATGTGGATTTTCTTAACCCAGAAGTTTGTTCCATAAATTCTCATGCCTACAGTGAAGACTGTGCCTACATGTGAAAATAGACACTGTCAAGCCTTCTACTTCCCAGTCCTCCTCCAAAGGAGACACAAGACTAGGTGAGGGGCCAAATCCAAAGTCACCAGACAAGAACAAACTGCCCAAGGTTGGAACATATGTGAAAACTCCTCTGACCTGAATGAAGACAGGAAGGCTCAGGAGGCCTGGTAGCCTGTGGCCAGACACAAAACCAGATCCCAGATCTCTGGGCTTTTAGTCCAACCCTGAGCTCTTCTCTGATGCTACTGCAAATTGGAGGAACATGTGAAAGAGCCTGTCATACAGTAAGAGCATAATAATATCATCTGAACAGAAGGAATCCAGTTTTGGCTCCACTTCACAGAGTCAGGCTGGCTCTTAGAGGGCCGGTGATTTTTTGAAAAGCCACGGGCAGGAGGTGGCCATGGCCAGAAGGAAAAGTTGCAGTTCCCACTCAACCTTGACCACAGCAAAAGCCTAAGGAACACAGTGAGTAAAGGGGGGAACTTGGAGCCTGTGAGACTTGAACTTGGGCCCTGTTGTCTTTTTCACTCTCATGAACAAGTCCTATAGAACTAGGGTAATAGATACCACTTCTCCAGGTGGAGCTGTAAAACAAAGTAGAGGATGGCTATGGAGCCTGGCAGTCTCTCAAGATGCGACCACCTGGAGGCAGGGATACATAACACATCTCACTCTCCTGTCTCCTTGTTTCTGAAAGTGCCTAGGACAGGGTTTATAACCCTTTCCTGGCAGAAGGGGCACTTAGAAATGAAGGTTTGAAGAACAAATCATAAAAAAAAAATGTACTATTAAACAGTGAGCTTTCTACGGAGGAACAACCAGTTATTTTTTTATGTGTGCATGCACATGTGTATATGTCTATATACATGTATGTGTTTGTATACCTGGGTATGTATGCCCACACATGTGAAAGCCAGAGGGCAACCTTAGCTGTCCTCCCTTAGGGATCATTCATCGTATTTTTTGAGACTCTTATTATTAGCCTGGGGCTTGCCAAATTGGCAAGGCTGGCTGGCCAGTAAGGTCCAGGAATCTGTCTGTCTGGAATTACAAGCATAGCTACCATATCTGACTTTTTACATGGGTTCTGGGGCTCAAACTTGGGTCTTCATGCTTGCATGGCATGCAGTTTACCAACTGTGCTATCTCCCCAGTCCCAGCCAATCATGTTTGAAATAATTCCCATTTTCCTTCCATTCCACAATGATATCTAAAAAATAAATACCTGTAGGACATCACAGGTAGCCTCTCCGCCCCTGCCATCACAGCCACCACCATCAGCTGAGGCCTCCCTCGTTCTGCCCAACCACATGCAAACAGAGCCACAGTGAAGGGAAAGGAAGAACTCACCGAGCAGGGCGTTGTGGCCATTATCATCTGGCAAGAACCTCTTGTCTACTGCACACACCAAGAGGTGGTCAGGCAGGCTGGGGGACTTGGCCCCCACGAGAAGGAAGCCTGCAGGGACCTCGATGGGCTCATTGGAAATGGAGACGAGGCGCAGGTCCTTTCCAGCCTGGCAGAAGCCTACAAGAAGTGGACAGAGCTCACACGCTATCCAGGGCCTTCCCAGAACCAGGAGTCTGTGGACACAGGGGTCACTATGGGTCTTGTTGGGAACAACCCTTACAGCCACTCTGGGTTAGGGCTCAACATTAATGCCTGAGAAAATTATCATCATGGTTATTTGTGACACTGATCTCAGTAGTCTCTGTGTGACAGTTGTGTCACTCTGTAACACATACTAATGTGCAAGTAAGACTCAGCAGGAAAATGCTTCAAGAAAATGAGGACAATTGAAATTCAGACAAGACCAAGACATCAAAAGGTAGCGGCACCTGCCATCTTCATATGCTGTACTTTATGCAGCTGCCAGAGCCAGTCTCTCAAGCTTCCCTGGAGGGAACTTAGAGTCCAGGAACTGGAGTCCTATCCTAATGGACACGTTTTCTCTCTACACCCTTCGGAACCTTTGGATTATAAATCTTTTAAATATATTTCCTGGGTCTGGAGAGATGTCTCAGTGGTTAAGAACACTGACTGCTCTTGCAGAGGACTAGGGTTCAATTCCCAGCACCCACATGGCAGCTAACAACTGTCTGTAACTCCAGGTCCAGGGAATTCGATGCCCTCTTCTGACCTCCATGGGCACTGCATGACATGAGTACACTTACACACATGCAGGCAATACACCCATACACATAAAATAAAATAATAAATAATATTTAAATGTATTTCCTATGTGAAAAGTAAGTTCTCAAAAACTATCCAGGAAAAGAGGAAAATGGCTGGGACTTATTAGGCTCTCTCTGAGATCTTGTTCTAGGTGAGGGTGAGCTCATTTCCTGGGCTTCTTGCATTGTGATCCACCAGGGAGATACAGGCCCCTCTACCCCAGCCAGTCATGGGAGCTTTTGCAGCCCTTTAAAAATTTCTCTTCAGGGGCTGGAAGAATGGCTCAACAGTTAAGAGCACTGGCTGCTCTTGCAGAGGACCTGGGTTGGGTTCCTAGCACCCATATATTGGCTCACACACTCCTATAATTTCAGTTCCAGGGAATCCAATGCGCTTTTCTGGCCTCCAAGGACTTTGTATGCATGTGGTGCACCTATATACATGCAGGCAAAACATTCATACACGTAAAATAAAAATACATAAATAAACAGAAGTTTAAAAGCCTCTCTTCCTCTGCTCTAGGCTTTTCTCCAACACAGGAGCCAGACTGCACCTAGGCATGGGGCAGCTGCTTTCACAGACTTTCTCGGCCCAGTGCTCCTGTGCCACCCACCTTCAGGAAGCTGGAGAAAGTCAGTTGAGGTAGTCACTATAAGCATACTACTGGAAATCCTGTGAGAACCAATTTAGGGACCATTGTTCTCACCATTCCCGATGCGGGACAGTAGGCAATCCTGCCTCACAGCTGTACTGACTCCCCTGTTCAAGGAATAGCAGCGCCAGAGAGGGCCAAGTCCTCCCTACCACCCTAACGGCTCAGGGTCAGGTCAGGGTCAGATTCAGGTCTCAAGTGCAGGGGCCTCCACAACTATTCTGATCACTTTCCAATCCCAGCTCTATTGTGCCCCAGGTCCTGCCTGAATCCCCTAATCATGAAGCTCCCTAGGCTGGGTATTCCTCACCCCTATAAGCCTTTGCAGCAGCTATTTCCTCTGTAGTTTCCCAGCCTCCTCACCCTACTATAGTCTCCTGGCTAACTCCTACCAATGGTTTAAACCCCAGAGGAAGAACCAGCTTCTCTAGGAAACCTCCCTGAAACTCTGTGCCTGCATTCGGAGTCTTTCTTCAGCTCCCATGCAGCCCAGCCTGCCCTCCCAACTTACCCTAATGTACACAAAGCATCTGTCTCCCCAAAAAGCCCCAAGAGTTCCCTGAATTTCCAGAGCAAGGGCTCAATAACACTTAATTACAGACAACTATAAAGAAGCCTGCCAGCCATTGGCTGGCATAGTGACAGGATAGAGGCTCTCTAAGCCAAGGAGTAACAGGATCTGCAGTATGAACCCAAAGGCCTCTCCAGGTGTGAAGCATGAGCTCTCACCACTGGGCTGAAATGCTGCTGTGTCCAGCATCTCCTGCCTCAGTTTTTCATCAGTAAAATGGCTGATTGCCCAGGTTCCTGGGATAATATGAATACACTGGTTCAGCAGCCAAGGACTGATAGGTGTGTACCACTATTCCTACTAATCCATTCCAAATCAAATACTCGGTGATATAGACTCGAGTAAAGAAAGTATGTTCTGGCTTCCTAACAACTGACACAGCACAATGAATACTTGGCTCCCAGGCCATTCTTACAGTTGAGACTGTCTACAGTGGCTGAAGAGCTGGGAGCGGGCTCACCATGCTGTAGAGTATGTGGGGACTACAGGCCCAGCTCACACCTCAAGGGATAAGAACAAGGAGGACCCTGGGGACACAAAACCTCAGACCTAGCTGTGAAGCTGCAGATCCTGGGCAGGGGCTGGCATAGTCTTACCATCCGTGGTGCAGCAGCCTTCCGGAGGAGGAGGCAGCTGGTAGGCATTTGAAAGACTGCTGGGTTCCAACCCTCCATCCCCCTCTTCCTCTTCTTCTTCGTTGTCCACTCGGCTGCTACCTGGATGTGGGGGAGAAGAGCGGTGATGTATAAGGAAGCTGCCATGGGGCCTGGAGGAAGGCCTTTCCTTCCACCTGGAGCAGTAAGCTGGACAAGGGCACAGAATGTGGAGGACCAATCACAAAAGAGAACTACCGGCCTCTGGGAAGCACTCAGCAAGCCTTTGCTAGTCTACCCCTTGGTCCTTAGAAACCCTGGGAGGCTGGGCATTGTGGCCCTGCTGTACTGGAAGGGAAAGGCAAGGCTCTCTCAGGCCTGATGATTCCCAAAGGTCATGGTGCACACAGACTTAGCTTAAGTTCACTTCTCTTCCAGCCACTACAGCTGCGCATGTCTACACAGAGGCAGGGGTTTGCTACATATATGGTAATTTGATAAAGACTGAGCACAAAACTTCTACCCAGTAGGTATTCTGAAAACATTTATGTGAGAAATACTATGATGTATGTAGCCCGTATTACATTTAAGGAAACCAGGGCTGAGAGGCTCAGTGACTGGCTCACAGCTGTTTAACCACCTGCCTGTGAGTTCACAGGTGCCCAAGCCAGTGTTCTTAGAAAACAGAAGTAGCATGCACAGCCTTAACTATTACATAAGGGAACTACTGAGCTGTACACTATTATTTATCCAAAGAATGCATGCATACATTATTGCAACCACACACACATGCAGACATGAAAATGACCTTCCAGGATACTCTAGAACAGGGCCAGGCATGAAAGCTGTGGCTTTAGGAAAGGAGGAATGGCACCTATGGGACTGACCACGACAGCCCTGGGCATGAGCTCCTCTCACGCTGTCTCCCAGGGCTGCCTCTGCCCTCACTGGTCTCTGACCTCCCAGCACACAGCAAGATGCCTAGTGCGGAGACTGTGCTGAGGAGACAGCTGCCCACTGCTCTGAGCACACAGCGAGACCTTTCTCGCTGCTGGAGAAAACAGATTTCACCAAAATTTGCCTTTTGAAGGATCCAGGAATTTAGTCCTTCCAATGACTTCTCTCTTTTTTACCCAATGTATTGGGTAAAAAAAAAAATCTTTCTCAACAGGCATGGCAGCACGTGCCTTTCATCCCAGCACTGGGAGGTAGAGGCAGGCGGATCTCTGTGAGTTCAAAGCTAGCCTGGTCTACATAGTGAGTTCCAGGCCAGCTAGGGCAATAGGGAGACCCTGTCTCAAAAACACCAAAAAAAAAAAAAAATCTTTCTCAACAGGCATGGCAGCACGTGCCTGTCATCCCAGCACTGGGAGGTAGAGGCAGGGGGGGCTCTGTGGGGTTAAAAAAAAACCGGGCTACATAATGAGGTCCCAGGCCGCCCCGGGAAAAAGGGGAGCCCCCCCTCAAAAAAACAAAAAAAAAAAAAAAAAAAATCTGCCTCAGTGTGTCTTTAAGTTTCTTGTACTACACAGCACACAGATTTCCTCCTGGAATGGGCATTTTAAGCATCCTTAAATATTAGGGCAGGATATGGTTGTCTCCTCTCCTGTTTGTTTCTTTCATTGCAGGCTTGTTTTTATGTCTCCTGCTGTCCTCTCACTTGGCTCTAACACCACTCCTCCATCCAGGGGTTTTAGGCTAATCATGAAATCATATGAGGTGAGAGACACTAGACCAGAAATCTGGGAAATGAAGTTCCAGTATTTGGATCGCTGCTGCCTGTGTGACTGACCACAGGACAGAGGCTTGATCTCTTTATGGGAAATGAGTGGATTACCAAGTGAGCTCCAAGGCCACTGTGAGTTGTGATGGCCTACATAAGAAAATGTGACACCTCAGAGTCAGGCAGAATTTTCCAGCTGTTATTTAATTGATCAGGCTGCTAGGAACATAACCTGACAGGGGCTATGACCTTGGGAAGGTCTCTGCAGGAAGTGCAGCTAGCCTCCTGGTGCCTTGGTCTTTATGGGCTCAGAGGATAGACACCAGGTCATGAGAAAACTGTGAAACGCTTACACAAGAAAGAACACACAAGGTTGGGGGGATAAGCCCGGCAGCCTCTTTCCCTTAGCTTCTTCCTGTCTGTAAAGCAGGCACAATGGGGTCCCATCAGACTCCAAGACAGGACCAGCACCAGAGCAGGTGGCACAGAAGCTCTGTCTGCAGTCTACAAAGTTCACACTCAACTGAGTCAGTTTTACAAAGATTCAAAAAAGTGGAGTACATCCCAACCTTGGAATAGAAACAAATATACAATCCCCAGCAGGACTAAAATGCATCCCCCCAGTCAGAACCATGAATCCACAGGCAGTGCACAGGGAATGGCTGGCTGTGCTTTATTCTGCTAAGCCCAAAGAACCACATTCCAACACACTGAGAAAGAACCAAGACAGAAGGGTCTTAAGCCCCAGAGAGTCAAAGACTGAGCTCAAACTACAGGCAGGATTAAAGGTCAAAGGTCTGCAGCAGACATTCCGGCCTTTAATGGGCTCCTCAGCCCCAAGCAGACTAAACAGACATGTTAACAGGGGTCTGCCGGCAGGGCAAGAGCCTTAAAGCGGCCTTAGACAAAACCATCAGGGTTGAGGGCTTAGCACGGTATAATAAAACATAGAAAGCCAAGGACCCTATAGCACTTTCAGCTCCAGGCACCTGAGGCTATTCACTTTGGCATTTACATTCCATTTTCTTTTCATGAGAAGCAGCCTTGGGACATTCTGAGCACATGGGATTATAGGCATTTACCTGAATCCTGTCCAGTTAGTATATTTGTACTACTTAGCACAGTTCTGGGGTAGTATCTGTTTTGTTGCTCTTTCTTTTAAAAAGTCAATAACCTCTAAAAGGGTTTTCCCTTAAGGGGGGTAGTAGGTAAAAACTCTCATTTAAAAAATAAAGCAATAAGTTAGCCTCTTAAATCACCCCAGAAATACATAAAAATGTTATCAGATCTGCAGGGGTTTATCATACCAGTACCCTGGCCATCAGCATCAGTATTGTCTGAAGAAGTCCAGCAATCAGATAAGAGTCCCTGAGAAGAGACAAGCAGACAAAACAACATGGGGCCTTATGCATGCCTGTTTGCACTAAGGTTTATGATGCAGAAGATATGGCACAAGTCGAGGGCTTGGTTTATGGTGACATTTAGCAAACTGAAGTGTCTTCCCCTCCCACCAACTCCTAGAAAAACAAAATCTCAGGTGATGAGTCTGGGCTACTTGCTGGGTAGAGAGAAAAGTGCAGAGGGGGCTGGGTCCAATCTTCATACCAACCCAAAGACCGAGCGATCCCACTGACAAGCTGACCAGAAGTACTGGACATTCAGCCCTGAGGAATAAAACTCATGAGCTTCAATGCTGTCCCCCTGGGGGCTAGGATATAGCTCAGAGGTGGAGCATGTAGGCACTTCAAAGACCGAGCGATCCCACTGACAAGCTGACCAGAAGTACTGGACATTCGGCCCTGAGGAATAAAACTCATGAGCTTCAATTCTGTCCCCCTGGGGGCTAGGATATAGCTCAGAGGTGGAGCATGTAGGCACTCCCAGCGCAGTTGAGAGAATATCACTGGGAAATGCCACATGTCCAAAAGAGGTAAGAGTTACTTGAAAAGACAGAGCTTCCCAACTAGAAAGGGAGAGGCAAGCGGACAGCCCAAGGTAATCTTCAGTAGCAAGAAAAGCTGACTGGGAGCCCCCAAGGGCTTTCTGCTGCTCTCTGTCCTCATGTGAGCAGCTCTGCACTGAACGCCCCCCCCATCCCACTATCTGTACATACAGATCTCCCAGAGCTGAGGGTATAATTCCGCTGTTCCTACAGAACCAGCAGACCACTTTCCCCATTTCCAAATCACATCGACCTCAGTGCATTAGCAGGTGAACAGGCTTTGTAGATTTTAAGGCGCCATTCAGATGTACTAAATTATCATGATTGCTATTACTAATTTTCCATTAACAACAAGGCTTTTCAACACTGAGCAGTTAAGAATAACCAAGGAATGCTTATTTCACAAAGCCTTTCAGTTGGTTAAAAAGGTGATCTACTGAATATTCTCTAACTTCTCAGCTCCCCATGGTGCCAAACTTATAGTTCCTATGCCATAAAACATCCACACCAGAGAATTTCAAGTTTCCTGATTTACAGTTTGGAATGCAATCTGGTTTCTCTTGGAACTAGATTCAGTTCTTTGGGGTCCTTTGCTGTGCCACTTGCAAGGTAAATTTACTGAGTTTTTTTTAATGACCCATGAGGTCCTTCCTACAATAATCAGGAATACCAGACACTCATAAGCTCAGAACAGAGCTCTTTCAAAACAAGCACCCCACAGCCACACACACACAGAATACAACACAACACAACACGGAGTACAACCCCACACACAGAGTACAACAGACACAGACATGGACACACCACACACACACACACACACACACACACACATACACACCACAAACAGCACATACACACAACACAGATACAGACAACACACATACCACAATACACACACCATACCACAACACACACCCCAAGCCCAATGCAGCATATATCTGGCAGACATTTTGGTTTTTTGTTTAACAATTATTTTTTGCTTTAAACCACGGCTCTTTCTACTTCAAAAACTACTAAAGTATAATTTCAAATGAAAAGGGTTGAACTTATAAAACAAACAAACAAAACAAAACAAAAATTTCAAAACAGTAGCTTCATCATCCTATGGATTGCTTTGAGCTTACTTTTGACATGAAAATACCTTGCTATTAAAAATCTCTCTCTCTCTCACATACACACTCACTCTCATGCTTTATTTTCTGAATAAAGGAAGTCAAGTCAAGTCAAGTCATGCTTTATTCTTGGTACATAATAAATTCATAAAAGTTTGCTCTGATTTTTCAAGTTTCTAGAGTGCTCTTAAACCTGTTACTACAAAGAAAAACAACTTTTAGTTTACAAAGAAAAGGCCATGAATCACAAGAGAATGAAAAAAAATACACAGCTGGAGGTCAAACTCATGTTAAAATTTCTTATCAAAGTAAAAATGTCAAACCTTCTAATGAGGCATAAACGCCCCTTTCAGAAGACTTGTCTCTGTCTCCTATTAATCGAATTTTTTTCCTTGAAATTTATGACTGAAACTTATTTTTAATCAAATCACAAATAAGCTTGTGAACCTTTTCTTTTTTAATGATTCTTTTTGGTGAGACTACAGTTCTCAAATAGGGCAGAAGAGGGGAGTTTCAGGTTTTGCTAATGCTGGCTGTGCACAACAAAAGAAGCGCACAAATCAAGAAGTGTTCCTCCTACCTTCTAAAGAGGACAGCTGCTGCTCGGCCTCCAAGTACAGCTGGGAGAAGATGGGCCTGGGTACCAGGGTGTTGGAACGCAGGGAAGCCTCAATGGAGTTGTGAAGGACCTCCTCAAACCGTGTGGTTTTCAGCTGTCCAGCGTAGGAATTTCCCATCTTCAAAACACAGAGACGACACAGTCTTCTGATTAAGATGACATTTCGGTTTTGGCTAGAAGGGCTGCCTGCACACGCTGTCTGACAGAGGAGGTAAAAGCCAGTCTCAAGTAGGGACGGGCTTGTGGCCTCTGCTCAGCCCAGACAGGAGAGGGCGGCTCTCCCCAGCTACTGCAGGGCAATTACAGGAAGTTATATAAGTAACAGCTCTCTCTCTCTCTCTCTCTCTCTCTCTCTCTCTCTCTCTGATTTAGCACTCACAGAGCCCACCACCTTTTAGAATATTCCACTGGGAAGTGCCTCTTCGCCTTCCCCTCTTTTCCCATAGATAGGATCCTGTCTCCAGGAGTCCCCAGGCAAAAGACAAATCATTTTCCAGGAATGGCCCTTCCACATCCTTTCCACAGCTGTGACAGCAACAGACCACCCACCCAGGTTTTAGGATGCCAGGAGGCACCCCCTTTCTATCCCCAAAGGCAGGCCAGCAGACTTCATCACTAAGTTCCTGGTAAAAGCCTGGCTGTTAGCATTCTTCCTTAAGAACATGTTTCAGCTTGTTAAATATCTCTACCACAAAGGTCATGTACAACAATCCCAGAACACCTGGGAAAATGGGGACAGTCACTGACAGGCATCCCCTAAGATAATCACTCTAGTTTTTTTCTGTAGCTCTTTAACTGAGAGCTAATTCAAAGTTAGTAATTCATTGGTTGGTTTGGTTTTTTTGTCAGTATATTCACCATTTTGTGCAACTGCTGCATCATCAATTTGACACATCCATCACCCCCAAAAGAAACTCCACAGCTATCACTTCCCAGTGGCTACAGCCCAAGGCAACATGTCCATTTTCTGTCACTACGGATCCACCTAGCCTATCAGATGAGCACACAGAAGCACTCAGCAGGCGGCTTTCTGCACCAGTGTTCCCCACTGGCAATTCCAGCACGGTAAAGCCAAGACTCACCTGCCAATACTGCGTTGCCACTGGGATTTTTGCTGTTTTGTTTGGAGTCCTAAGGATCAAACCCAGGCCTCTCAACTGCCCTGTAAATACTAAGCCACTGCCCCAGGCCCCAGCCCTGTCATTGAAGGAAGGGATGAGGACTGTACTCAGAGGTATAACTGTACTATAACATAATTTATTTCATTTGACATACATGTATCACTCATCCCTCTTACAAATGCTTTTAGAATAATTTTACTGGTTACATGATATCTCATTGAGTGAAAATATTGGTACTTGCTGCAGACATTTCTCTCTGACCTCACATATGGTCTGTTTCAGCCCTTCCAAGGGCAAGCATTTCAGTATTCTACGTCTTTCTCCTGGATTCCATTTCTTCTCTCGCATTCATGTTAGCTTTTTTAAAATACTTTCCTCTTTCTATCTCCTTTTGTTTTCCTCTGTCGCACTCATTCCAACTCTTTTAAAATGATTACATTTTCACATTACTCCAGCAACAATGAATACATTTAAGGCTACATCAGACTATATATTATCTTCTGGGAACCCCTTTGGTTAAGGTACCTGAGTTAAGTACAATCTCTTTCTCTTTCTCTCTCTCTCTCTCTCTCTCTCTCTCTCTCTCTCTCTCTCTCTCTCTCTCCAG